ATGCAACTTCTTTCAACCATCTGAAGGAGACCCTTGATCTCATAGTGAATACCTCAGCCATTTTGCTAGTTTTGTAACTGGGAAATTTAAATCATGCAGTACAACAAAATCATGAAGGAAATCATAAAGTACAACAAAAGGATTGTTGCTACTTGAGGTTTCCCTCAAAAAAAAAAAAAAAAAAAATAAAAACGTTTATTTACCCTCATCATCATCATCAGACTGTCTAATTCTTATAATTCATAGATGCAGATCTCTGAAGAATTTCCGTCACAAATTTATATCAGCAAGTTCGAACCCTTAATGAGACAAGTCATGTACATGGGAGATAATTAGCCAAATCCCTTAGCAGGTACTTCTACACTGCACTTGTACACTGTACAAGTCACTGAAACATTTCAGTAAACCACAATTCCATGGTGGAATTAGCAATCTTAATGACAACACAAGGTGAATGTAAAATGCTTATAAAACAACGGACTTCAAAAAAATTTTTTAACCAAACAACACACCAAACAGAAGCTGACAGAACGTCACGCCACACAGATCATACCTGTTGTGAGTCGTGGAGAAGACAATGAAAGTGAAAATGATGACCGAGAAGGCCACTCGGATGAAACATCCACTCACGACGATGATGATGACAATGAAGACGTCGCCGAAGAAGATTCTTACAACCTTCAAGTAAAGGAGATTCAGAAGAAAGCGATATCTCGCTTCCCTGAACTAAGTCACGCAGATTGAAGAACCAAGGACGACCAAGCCAAGCCTTTCAAAAGAGGCTTAGGGAAAATGACCTCAGTAACATACGGCTAAATCAAAAGCCACTCAAAAAAAAAAAAGCAATACCAATCGCGAGTAAGTTAGATGACTGTTTGTGTAAACGGATGTTTTTCTGACAGGAGCATGTAGTTTTCGTTCGTTCGCTCAAAATCTATCATGACTCAGAACATCCAGAAATTTTCTTTGATTGCCATGAAACATATGTTCCGTTAATTTTAACTCGAATCAATAATTGACGCGGCAAATATTTTAAAAAACGCAGCCCACAACATATACATGTGAACATTCGTCCGCCATGTTTAAAGGAAGAGGGTTTCATGCTACCCATGCGCATTGACTTCAACATTACCATGACACGGCGCCAAAATGACTGCGCATGATTTAAGTTACTTGCGTGATTTCCGCGCGAGAAGGAATGGGCACCATAACATTTCCATAGAAACAAACTGCGTCAAAATGGCGGCAATTTAAAATTCCCGGCAAATGTTTTGTTTTTGCGGAGGTTAAGGTCGTCATAAACCAGCTAAGGTTATTACGTTGAAAACAGTTTCTGTGAAAGTTTTTCTTTCCCATATCTTTTGTAACAAAGAAGTGGTTGTGGTAACAGTGTTGAATTTCCTGTTCGAAGTCGGGCATGAAGTTCGTGTTTATCGTAGCAGCGTTATATCTTTAATATCTTTAATAAGTATACTGATGGGAAATTGCCTGTTGCGAAAATTTGTTGTTTGAGGGGAAAAACAGGGGACAAGTACGTTTGCCAGGGACGAATGATCTCTCTCAACGCAGAAATGGTCAGGGTAGCGAACGTCGAGCGTGGAAATTTCGTCTGCGAAAATCACTGGCATATGTTGAGGACCACGAACAATATTTTCTCCTGCCCTTTGCCTAGCCATTCCAGACCGATGAGCCCCACTCCTATACCAGCAAGGCTATTTCAAGTCTTCGACAAAGTGGAGAAAAGTATGCCTTCGTATCGACCCGGAACGCGCTGGTGAATCAGTTACCGCCGAAACGCTGACGAGAAATTTTCCACCATGGCCAAATATAAAAAGCCAAGCAAGAGGAAAAAGGTAGGTACAGTCATTGCAATACTGAAGACATGCAATATCTGTCAAAAGTAAATTAAAAATTAGTGGTAAATATTTCTTATCCCCTGCTGTTGCAAGCAGAACAGAGAAATAAAACTATTTAAATCCACTTATATTTGTTTTCTTCCTTCTTTGAGATCAAAATAATATGATTGATTTGACAAAATGTGTCTTTTTTACACCATAACAAATGTTATCAGGAAGTTATTTTACAGAGAGGGAATGGAAACCTGTTTCCCGGGCTACAATGTATCTCCAGTCCCCCAGGCCTGGAACAGGCCAGGTTTGAGGGAGGAGGGGAGGAATACTTCAACTGTCATATGGTCATAAAAGTTTATATTACAAAGTGAATGCTATTCAGTAATAATATGTAAAACTAGAACTGTTGTTTTTTTTTTCACAAAATTATAGACCAACCTAGAAACTCCACCCACGTGTGCTTCACCAGCCAAAACAAATGAGGTATGTAATGTAATCAAATGGGTAGCTACATGTAGGCAATCACAGTCAACCAAGTGAAGCGTACCCCTCAACATTACATTAATGTCAGAATTGATTATTTGAATATTGAACCCGCTAATCATTTCAAGAATGCAATAATGAATTGATTATTGAAATATTGAACTCACTAGTCATTTCAAAAATCAACATTTTACTGAAATTGATTTTGTTTTCAACATTAACCCCATTAGCCATATTCTTAGAATGACTTCTGAGTTCAGTATTCCAATAATCAATTTATTATTGCATTCTTCAAACGACTAGCGGGTTGGATATTCAAATAATCAATTCATTAATGTAATCTTGAGGGGTATGCTTCACTTGGTTTGACTGTAAACAACACATACACTTAAAAAACATATTAATAACAATAAAAACAAAAGCTTATAGCACATCCGCTCTTGCAGGGTCAATCATCTGCAAGACCTAACTACTGCACAATCAACGAAAGTGAAAAACAGTCAGGTAATATGCTTACATTTTAACAGGACTATTCACATTAGAAATGTTCAGCTGTACATGACTTGTAATGTAGCACCTGCAAGCTAAGAACTGAATAACAAGTAGAAAACAATGAAAAACTATTTTATTATTATTATTATTATTATTATTATTGTTGTTATTATTATTATTATTATTATTACTATTATCATTATTATTATTACTGATTTCTTTATTGTGATTCTTTTCCTCATTTTCAGTCGGTTTTGCAGAGCTAGTGGAAAATTTTCAGTTAGCTCTCTACTGGCACTACAACAATTATGGAGGCCAAACCTTGTACAAACCAGAAGATATGAGAAACTTTTGCCAAACCCACTCACCACATCTCTATGACACTCTGTTAAGTTCTATCACTCGACAAGATGGACGTGCCACCAGCAAGAACCATACAACTTTTCAAGAACAAAGAATAGTTGGACTCCTTCACATGTTGGCTTACTTTAGGTATTTGAATCAAATTCATGCAAACACTAAAACTTACTGACTTCTTGATCAATAATTGACTCTTAGGCTCAACTTTACTTCAACTAAAAATACTAGTATCCCCATCTTGCCTGTGTCAGGAAATTATATACTGGATGTTTATGGCTACATTTTGTGTTTTTTAGGTCTCAGAAAACATCACACCTTCAAAAACAGGCAGGAATGTTCCTTTCAATGCACGGTTTTACAAGGTCAGTGCAGACTCTAGGAAGGGTGTTCGGTTTCAGCCAAGGAACAAGGATGAATGACATGTTCAAACATCAGCAGGCAAAACAACACAGGGAACTCATGGACAAAACAGTCGAAACAGATTGCAACATAATATTAAACTAGGAAAATATTAAAATATATATACACAGTATATAGATTTTTGAAAAATTTCTCCATGTCAAAAAAAACTAATTTAATTTCTACTTTATTATTTTAGAACAAAAAGCTCATAATCCATCTTCTTGATGACTTTCACATTGTCAACGTTTTTGTTCATCCATCTCAAAAAGCCAGTTCCGCAATCCACATGGCATCCAGTCTGCTGGACATTCAGCAGACTGCTGCTGCAGTGCCACATTCATCAAACACCATGACAATACATAGCACCACTTATGTTAGGAAAAATGGAAAGGACATTCTTTGTTGAGGAGGTATTGTGAAGGCTTTCATCTTGGAAGAAATGGCAGAACTCTTACTAAATCATAACAACACATATCTCGATACACTGCCAGTTAAATTTCTCCATGTCAAGCCTGACAGGGTCCAACAGCAGTTGCAGGAACTGAGGTAAATAACTGAACAACCCGTCACAAAAAACAAACAAAACAAAACTAAACAAAAAAAAAGAACAAAAATATAGAATAATGTGAACTGTGACACAATAACCTTCTAAACTTAAAAATAAATAAACAAAGCTTGTTCAATACTCACTACCTGCAGTAAAATGTACTTTTTTTCTACAATATTATCATTAAAGTAAAGAGCAGAAACTGGATAGTGGAATTGGATAGTGGAAGCTTGACAAATATCTAAATATCCATTGGCTAAAAGAAATACCATCTATTTTACTGTCCAAAGGGTCTACAGTCAGTCATACCACAAGGAACTGCACTCAATTGAGAACTGTGTAGATGACTACCAATCAACCCTAATGCACGAACAACAATGCAGCCCTGCCTTTGGTGATTACCTTAAAAAGTTTTTGGTACTTCTCCTGGGGATTGGCCTAGTTGGTATTACGTAAAGAAGATACTTGTTTATGTTCCTCAAGAGAGCCCTCTTTTGTCCTTAATCCCAGAGCAAGGACCCTTCCATGTAACCCTAAATGCCCATGAAACTGCGGTCAACCTGCACAGATGTTTTTTGCCGTTGCATAAACATTTATTTAACTCTGCTCTAACAGAGAAGCCCAAACCAGACAGAGTTGCTGTTCTTGTTGCTGCTGCTTTCCTGGGGTGGCTAATGTTACGCTCTAGAGTGTTAAATCTCTTTAAACTGAGCAAAGACATTGAGTACACTTGGCTACTTTACTTATTTGAGGAGGTCCTTCCATTTCTATTTTTCCACTACCCTGTTATATTTAGAAGTTCTGAACTTGGAAACTACTTGTCCATAATGAGGAGATTTGCTGTTTTATTCATTTGTTGGAAGTGACATCACCATGACAAGTCAACGTTGTCATCATTGAGTGATACAGTACACCAAAAACTGAACAATGACAAATACTTTAGCATGAAACAACACATGCTGGCAGCCATTACCGAAAAGAAAGTGGAAATTTGGCATTCTCTTTTGAGAGATTCCATTGAATGGGATTACACTGCACCACAGATTAGGCTGAATGCCCAACTTCTTAGTGTAAACAAGATACAGCATGAATTTTGCCATCATTTTGTCCCTGAATATCAAAGAGGTACTGGAGAAAGGGATCACACCCTTCTTGCAAGAAGATCAGCTGAATTTATTATTGAAAAATTGCAGCTCATTGCAAAAAACCTCGTAAGCCCAAAGCAGGTTAGTCAAGTCAACAAGACATGATCATAACCTGATTACACCTTTAAAAATGTGTAGAACTTACATGCTGTGTCTTTTATACTCTACAGTTTCTCTATTATTTTGATGTGCTAACAGTTTACAGTATATGAAGTCATTTAATTCAAATGTCAATGCTGTGATTTTAAAGCCATTTAAAAATGTGCAACCAAAGTGCATTTAGGTGTTTTATTAAGTACTATTTTCAAAAATAAACTCTCAAAAAATTCTAGGTAGCCCTCTAAAAAGTTGGTTTTACACAGAGTTTGTCTACCAAAAAATTTCAAGTATCACTCCTAACAAAAATTTGCTATGATTAAATTTCACAGGTTCCACGTCAAATTGGTCAAAATGGAAAACTACTAGGAGAGCCCAAGTACCAGCTTCCTTCATTTGGCAACACCATCATCGATGCCCTATCTCTCCCACTGGCATACAGTCATGACAAGATAAAACAAAATCGGGAACCAAAATCACATGTGATGTGTGACTTTCCCAACTGCAACACTGAGGGCACTCAACAGATAACAAGACTGGCATGTTTTCATACTTGCCATCGTCTATGCCTGGAAAATAATGGAAACTCCTGTCCTATTTGCAAAGATCGTCTTCTCAAGAGGATCACTGATTTAAGTGACACATTTAACAGTGGCTTGTTGGAAACCAAAGATAACTCACCAGCCATAAATGAAACAAATGAACAAAGTACAAGCCAAGCAGACATTACCACAACTACAGGAAGAAATGCAGAATTTTACAAGTCGCATGAATGGGAGAACTTCATTTCTACAAGCTTTGAACAGCTGGTGATTCCACAGCCAAGTGTTCTGCATACAACAACCCGAGAACCCACACAGACCACAGGAAGCACCAGTACCAGTCAAAGGCAAAATCACTGTTCACATTGTGGGCGACCTGGACACCGCAAATCTCGTGGTGCGTGAATTACATGTCACATCCTATTACAATCAAGCAGTCAATCTTCTCAACACACAACACAATCGTCAGCACAACCACAATCTTACAATCCGCAATCTTACAATCCACCTATACCTTTGTCATCACAAGCCTCCACACTTTATGTTCCTCCTTCCACTACAGATACTGTTACTTCCTGGAAGCTACCTGTTTCCTTGTCACAGTCAACAATAGGGGGACGCAAAGGGGAGCAATGCATGCACAGTTACTTCACTGTTACTGGCCAAGACCTACCTAACAAATAAACAATTGCTCCAATTTTTTTTTTTTAAATTGCTAAACACATAATTATTTACCTTGCTTTACTCTACTTATAACACGACACAATACTTAACCTACTTACAATACACTACATTATCATTATCATTAATATTATTATTATATTATTATTATTATCATTATTTCTAATGCTTTTACTGTCGTACAAACGTCACTTACAATACATTAAAAAAAACAACTATTTAAAATACTTGGCATTACCTTACTTACTTACAATAGGCAATAATAACTTATTATGAGTTACACATTACGTCACTTAAGGAGTTACAATGCAATGTAATTACTTAATTATAGAAGGAAAAAAAAACCAACAAACAAACTAAAAAAAAAGACCTGGCAACAAATTACTAAGGGAAACACCTTAAATGGTGAGAAGGAATTTCCACTTCTGTTGAAATTCCCTTTCACCATTCAACGTGGCAGCAATATATTTTTCTATCTCAATTTTATCCTGTACTAATGAGATGAAGTTGCTGAAAACGAACATAGTATTATTTAGAGCGTTGATATAAAGAAAGTATTTGCNTTTTATCCTGCACTAATGAGATGAAGTTGCTGAAAACGAACATAGTATTATTTAGAGCGTTGATATAAAGAAAGTATTTGCCTAGCATTATGAGGTGGTTGAGGGTCAAACGGTGAGTACCGGGATGAGTAATTCCAAATAATACCTCTGGCTTGGAGAGAAGTAAACTCGCGTTACTTACGGTAGAATACCACCTTTGGAACTTATACCAAAAGGAAGACGCTTGTGGGCAGCTAATAAACAAATAACATATGTTTTGACTATAAGAGGGACAGAAAGGGCAGGATGGGGAGGCAACCTTGCTCATTTTGTATAATATACTGTTCGTGGCTAAAATGTCGTGTATAATTTTGTGCTGGAACATTGTCAATTTAACTTCTTTTGTGGCTGTGAATGGCAGAAGATAAATTTTATTTAGATTCTCTTTTGCGATACCGTATGATAAGAGTTTTTTTTCTGAAGTGGGAAGAGGAAGATTTTCTAAGGTTAACAGCTTGTCCTATAACATCTTGCACGTTATAGTACAAGTTGGCGGCGGGGGTGTGGTAGAGTTGCTCCAAATTAATAGCCGTCAACCTCTGAGTCACAACTGGATTGTGGCCTTTATTTCTTGTACGTTGGGAGGGAATCAGGCATATGACACATTCATTTCCTCACATAATCCAATTTACCTTGGAGCAGTGGAGGCCATACCTCTTATAAGAAACAATCTAGGCAGTTTAGATCATGAAG